TCAACGACGCATGAATTGATTTAAATTTGCATTAGGAAGTAGAAATAGTTTTTCTTTGCTTTTTTTTTCTTTTGAAACGCGACTACAATTCGCAACATATGGCGAGGGGCTCGAAGTTATCAATTTTGTTTATTTCATTTGAAGCATTGATAAAAATTTTGAACGTATTATTTGAAGGAGTGATTTTTTGGGAAATATATTTTTCACGCGATTAAATTCTTCATCCTTTCGGCCTTCTAGTGTCGGAAATATTCCAAAAGATATACATTCAATGTTGACTTGAATGAACGACTTTCACATAAGTAATAAAGTCTTGAAAGCAAATACGTTGCTAATTTTAACGCGTATATTTATAAAACGAATCATATGGAAAGAGGTTAAGTACTTAAGAATTATATGTATGAACGTGTTTATAAGATATATTTTTTTATTTTTCCATGTGTACGATTTATATATTTCTTTTTTTTTTTTACAATGTTGGGATGAACAGAGAAGGAATTTATTTTATTTAAATCGTATAATCATTATTTTTGATAAAAATTGCGGTAAATATAAAATTGCAGGAAAAAGTTTATACAACTTTGAAGACGTTTAAATATTTAATTTTGTAATTTTTTTGTATATTGTTATACCGATTTTGTTAAACAGTTTCAACATCGATATAGAAATTTTCTTCTTTTTTTTCACATTTTCTCGATATTATAATTTATGTACGAGTTAATCTGAATTGATTGACAAGAAATTCAATCAGCAGATAATACCAATATGTTAAACCGATTTAATTCCTGTCATTTGACAGTATTCTGTCCATTGAAGAGAATTAAAGATGAAACTCTAGAATATTTATGAAAGAGATGTTTAATTTAATTAACGAATGAAAAATAATTAAACCACAGTGGAATACAGTGAAATATTGCTTCCTGCTGACGAATATCTAATATTTAAAAGATTTAATTTATTAACACTTGTGGTGTACACACGTGGTTATACATACACGTACTTGAAGAAAAAAAGCATTGATACAATTAGAGTGATTGTTCAAGATTAACGCGAAGGTGAAGAGCAAAAAATAAATCATCGAGTGACGTGTCACTTTAAATAACAAGACTGATAACAATATATCTTACACGTTATCTGTAATTCGTGTTACAATTCAAACAACTCTGAATAAATATTATCAACAATTTTTCTTTTCTTGTAAATTCCAAGCTGCAACAATTTCACAATTCCTGCGTTTCAACACACGCGCGAAAATATTCTATATTTTCTATGCAATTCGAGGAAAGATTCTCGCTTATTTCCTCAAATTTTATCAACGCGCACGCAATTCACACGAAAACCTCTTGTAATCTCGTAACCTCTACGTTTGCGCGATTTGTTAAACCAACCAATGTTGAAAATATTAATGCAGACCTTTCACAAGGATGCTATTTACCATCTGGAATCATTTATTCAACACCGGTAAAATGAATCGTCAAATTTGATGCGATTCGAAATTGAATTTGCCGTGCGATGCAGAGTAATTAAACTCGATAACGTGCCCACCGATACTTGATCAAATTACCATCCAAATTTGCACGCGTGTCTGTAAAATTCCGGTCATGGCCAGCCAATCGAGACACTCGAGGAAGTAATCTCGTTGGAAACGTTGACAAAAATCGCATAAACAATCCTATTAATCGTATTATTCTTCCTTTTTTTTTTTTTTTTTTTTTTTTTTTTT